AAAAGTAAAATTCTTTTAACACTGTGTACGTCTACAATATATGCTTCGAAATTTTGTCTTCTACCTTACCTAACAATAAGTTTAGAAATAATAATAATAATAATAATAATAATAATAATAATAATAATACATTTGTACATACGCGTATATATTGTCGCACTGCAATTTTCGAAAATATCATAGTTGTAAGTGGTAACAACAACAACTAAAGAACAAAATTATCTCGTGCTACATGCATTACATTGGTTGGATGATCATTGTAAGTAATTACGTGATAGAAAAAAAAACGAAAAGAAAAGATTTGACTGCGTTAAGTGGGTATATATATACATATTAATTATTCGGTCTTTTCTACTCAATTTGCAAACATTCAAGTATTTTACTTTCTACTTATGAAATCTGCCAAATTATTATTTTGGCATTGATAAGTTTTTAAAAGTAGTGTAGAAATTATATTTATGGGATTTTATGAAAGAATGATAAAAAACAAGTATTGAAATAAACGAGGAGTAGCAACATAGAAATTGTTTGTTTGGTCCTTAAAAAATAGATACAATATTGGATAATAAAAGAAACGCATACAGACATTACTAATTTTTTAATAGCATTTAAAAAATATTACAATTCAGTACAGACAATGATGAGTGAAACGTAATCGTGATGGTAATTTAAAATATTTAATAAAATAATAAGTATCGAAAAAAATCAATATTTTTCATGAAATGGTATCATATTCGTTGAAATATAATGAATGAGTTTTTAGAAATGAATGTTTAACCTGAAGTATCTTTGCTTTGTCTTTGCTGCACCATTTCTCTCAGATTATTTTCACTCTCTTTTAAGCTCTTTTGCAAATAAGTTTTATTATTTTCTAAACTTTGAACCTTCTCGTCGACAACTTTCATTCTATTTTCCAAACCAATTTTAATATTTTCAATATCGTCAAATAAAAACATTCGACCAATGGATTCGTAAGTTCTTGTGTCCGGTGGCAAAGAGGTTATCTCTTTAACAGTAAGTTGTGCACGTTGTTTAGTTCGTTTTAATTTGTCTATTTGAGCATCAGCAAGTTTTAATTTTTGTGTGGTGTCTATCATTTTCTCATGCAATTCCGAAAATGCCTTTTTTAATTCTTGATCCGGTACTCTTGCCATGTCTCTTCTTCAATATATCTAATTTGAATCAAATATTTATTAACATTTTACAATAATTTAATATTTCTATATATACGTACCTTTATATATTAATTAAATTTATATTTAAACACACGAGACGTTCTGTTTTTATTTTTATTTTTTAATAATCCTTTAATCAAATTTGTAATAATACAACATTGTTAAATAATGATTCTCACATCTACGTTCACCCATATATGAGAAACGAGTCTAATTTATCAAGGCGTATTCGCATGACATATCAAACATATCATTGAAAATCAAATAAGTTACGTAAAATATCAGATTCTAGTAATAATTTCTTAATACATGTAATCGATCCTAACAATTAATTTCACTGTAATAAATTGACGTATTACGTAAAACTCTTTTGATTAACGTATTATCGTCAACTCGTAATCTGATTGGTTGTTACCGATAAACCTTCATGAACATTCTCCTTAAATATAAGAAGTACGTAAAGTTAGTTATTGTTCACACAGTTCACAAAGAGTAATTTATTAATACATTTAGTTACCAAGTAACTGACTCGATTAATTAACAAAAATAACGAGTAACGGTAAACTCCATTAATATCATTCAATCTTTGTAGATCTATTTATTTCTTTCTCTTTCTGACCTAGAGTCTAGAAGGATCGAAACACGTTATACGCCATATTAGATATCGACCTTTGTTTGCACCAACTTCAAGCGTTAGCATCGTTTCTCTACTTTTGTCGCGTTGTGCTCTGTCTTTCCCTGTCCGTGGTCGGTATTCCTTTAGTCTCCGGATCCAAAAAAATCATTTATTTTTGTGCATTAAATTTATTGTTCTGTGCCATTGGTCAACGTGAACGTGGAAGGAACCACTTTGCGGTGAGTGAGATTTTTCTATGGCTTACGACCATTATTATTAGGCTCACTCCCTCCTCTCCCCTCCTCCCTATAACGTTCCTTTTTTTTCTTTTTTTATTCCTCTTTTCGGGAGAACGAAAAAAGGGCAAATAATTTTACGTTATTCGATTATCTCTTTTTCTCTTTCTAGCTTACGGGTACGAACCACCTTGGTAATTTCGAGAGAAATAGAGAGAGAGAAAAAAAGAATTTAAAAAATATTCAATTAATGAAATTAATAGTTTCATCGTCATCGTCTTCATCGTCTCTCCCACCATCATAGTCATTGAATATTTAATTGAAACATTAGGTATAGTATTTCTTTTTTGTTTTTTTTTTGTTTTTTTTGTACTTTTTTTTTTAAGTCCCATCAAAATTTACATTGATTTTTATGTTGATCATACAATGGGTTGCCCTTTAGCCTCTAATGAGGGTGACCATCGTGCGAATGTCCGAGCTCGGCCGTTATGTACACCTTTCTTATTATATATATATATATATATATATATATATATATATATAACAGCACATAGTATATACCACCGGAGTAGGTATATGTTAGCTGCCCTTTTTTCTTTCTCTCCTTTTTTTTT